TCTTGTATGCAGATGTTTACAGCAGCTTACTTATAATTTCCAAAACTTGGAAGCCATCAAGACGTTCTGCAGTGGGTGAATGGATAAATTAACTGTGGCACATCCAGACAATGGAATATTAGTCAATGCTAAAAAGAAAGGAGCAGTCAGGCTATGAAAAGACATAGAGGAACCTTAAATGCCTGTTATTACTGAGTGAAAGAAGCCATCTGAAAAGACTATATAGTAGAGGAGTCCAAGTACATGACATTCTGAGAAAGGCAAAACTATGGAAGCAATAAAAATATTTGTGGTTGCCAGGGGGAGGGGAGGCAGGAGTGGAAAGCAGGCACAGAGGGTTTTTAGGGCAGTGAAACTATTCTGAATGAGATTGCAATAGATACATGTCATTATACATCTGTTAAAACCCATCGAACGTACAACACCAAAAGTGATCCCTAATGGAAACTATGGGCTCTGAGTGATAACGATGTGTCAGTGTAGGTCCATTTGCACCCCTCCAGTGGGGGATGTTAATAGTCTGGGAGGCTGTGCATGTGTGGGGACAGGGTGTACATAGGAACTCTCTGTACCTTCCACTGGGTTATTCTGTGAACCTAAAATGGCTCTAAAAAATAGTCTATTCCTTAAAGACAATTAAATACCAACACATGTAAAGTGCTTTGTGCATAAAAACCACTCAGTGCGTGAAAGTTGTGACCTCACCAACGTTGTTTCCCATCACTGCTCTCACTCTGCTCCGATCCTGAGCTCTCAATATTACACAACCAGATGCAGTTCTCCAGGTAACCATGCATTTTAGCCTCCTCACTTCCTAACACCATCCCCCTCACCTCCACATAGCCTTCCCTTCTCTTCTTTTCTTGGTCAACGCCTACCATCTTCAAAATCCTTTTCAGGCCTGTCCTGCAGGTCCGTAATCAGACCCCCACAAGTGTACGTGTGGAGCCCTTCCTCCGTGCCCCTGGAGCTCTCTGTGTACACAAACATCAGAGTTCTCACATAGGCACTAGGAATCTGCTTATCTGTCTATCTCACTCAATAAGCATCTCAGGGTCTCTTCAAGAATAAAATAATATTGAACCTGCATAATCTAAGCAATTCATATAGATGCCAAACAGAGTGGGAACTCAACAAATGTTGATTATTAAATAAATAAATGAATGAAAAAACAAGCCTATTTCTTTTTCTTAGGTTCAGATAAGAATTGAAACACAAATTTTAGAACGGAAAGAGACCATTCTACCATGTTACCTGTGTTTGTGGTCAGCACAGTGGTTTTCCTATAAGAACACTGCCATCTCTTCGATTGATGAATGCAACTAAATTACAAGTAGTGTGTTGTTTCACCTAATTAAGAAATGGGACAAAACCAAGCCAGGAACCACATTAGCAGTTTCCAGAAAAGTAATCTGGAACACTGTACTCTAACACAACAGCAAAGAAAAAAAATCAATGAAGAGTTAGTGTAAACATGTATATATAGAAAAATTAAAAACAGACTTAGGGAATTAGATGTCCTTCAGTTAATGCATTTTTTTTGTTTTGGGTTTTGGGGGGGTGAAGTAAATGTTCTTTTTTTTTCTGCTTGGCAAAGATTATGGAATATTTTATTTCTGCAAGCAATCAGCGATGAATGGGGATAGTTTCATGGTGCTTTTTTCCCCGTAAGTTTTCCATGAACCTTATTTCCTTGTTACTTCCAGAAATTCTGAATAGCACAGTTTTCATTTTC